CCAACTTCTTTCTTGTGAGTTGCGTGGAAGTAGTATTTGATGAAATCCCCGGGACGTCACATTCCGTGACATGCAATTTGCATATGAGACTAGACGACCTTCCCACTATTGCACCATGTAATATCCTCTAGTTCCTGGCTGACAAGAGCGCAGCCAGAGCCTCGGCAAGGCGGGTGGTGGGGTGGGGGGAGGCACAGCGTTGAAAAAGGGCCCCTAAAAATATCTGGAGAAGAATGGTCCGTTTATCAGTGAAGGCATGGTATACATATCTGCATATATAAATATATATTATACATTTTGCTCCCAGTAAGTGAAATCGAGCCCGTGGCCATCGTGAGATCAGTTCTGCCTGAAGTTTATGTAATCAGTAGACTAAAAAAGTCATGCGTTAAAGAACCGCGTGAAGCAAAAAGATGGCGTCTTTCATTTTACAATAGTCCAGTAGACTCTTGTTAAACCGATACAGAACGCAAAAACTTCGTCAGAATTTGCATCCGGTTTCTGCAGAAATATCAAAAATCCTGCAAATGTAGCTTGAAGATCAAAATAGTTCCAGAAATTTGCATTAGCATGGCCAAGCCGTGTTTGTCTGAACATGCTCAAAATTCAGCCAGAATCGTGATATGTAATGCAAATTATGTAACCTAATTTTGAGCAAGCGCGCTCGCATATCTTGGCAAAAAAAGTCACGCCACGCCTCGACGCTAGGCGTTGCATTCTCCGGAAGCCGCGCAGCGTCGGCCCAGCGACCAGCACTAGGCCATAGCCAACAGGTGGACGAAAATGATGATGCATTCGAAAGAAAAACCTTTGATGAAGTACCTTTTTATGTGGTTTTGGAATCTGGTGGTGGAACTGTAAAAGTAATGCCAAAATCTCTATTATTCGTGTTGTAAGAGTTAAGCTGCCCAGAAGACAACCACAAAGTCGTAAAACATAATTCGCTAAATATAATCTTTGAACCGTACAACTTGATTTTGAAAGAAATTCAGAAATGTCATCTTGCGATGGTCGTTGTTGCGCGACCCCTGGCCGATCCGGAGCCCCTTAGACATCATATCACGTTGGTCCGCTCCCTGACGCGGGAGGCCTTCTGACGCGCGCAGTTAACCCCAGATCGACACATACACCATCATTGACGCAACAACAGCCCTGATCGTCACGGGTGGTCAAATAATTGACTCATAGAACCCAGTTCAGCTTAACGAGACGATTCTGCAATTGGCTTGTAGGGCCCAGCGTTTGGTATCGGGGACCATGACTGTCACAGAATCCTCCTATTACCTCAATGTGAGCACTCATCATAAGTTCCTTTGTTTCCTGTAGTTGTCAAGAGGGCCCGACCAACACAAGAGACCCTCAATCATTCGGGCTCCTGTCCCCGTCCCTGTTTGGTAAATGTGCCCCAGGCCAATCCGAGCTCCCTTGTTGACACAGCACCCTGTTGGACACCGTGGGCCCCTGGACGATACAGGAGCTCCATCCCATGTAAATCGCGCGCCCGGCATTGTCTCTTCCTGGACAATGGACCCCCCCCAGAGTTCAGACCAACACGGAGCCCACTATTCGTCGTTCGTGATCTCTGGCCGAAGTAGAGGAACGCTCTGTCTCAGGGGTCCCTATCGGTGTCAGAGATTCTGCTACTGACATTTGATATCACGCCCCTGTGGGCGGGGGTCATTAATGTAACCTACAGGCCTTTCGGCCTACAGGTCATCCAATTGGGTCCTTGATCTTTGGTTTCGAGAGACCCTTCGTCCCCCCCTCAGGCCCCCTAAAATACCGCTCCAACTCGAAGCCACTTGGCGCCACAGGGCCCCTGTGGCGCCTACAGGGCCCCTGTTAGGCACTGTGGTCCTAACCGACGCAGAAGCCCCTCATTGCATCGGGGACACCGAACATTGCAAACCATAGGCCCCGGTCTCATTTCTGCTACGGAAATGGGTTTCAAGGGCCCAACGGACGTGGAGCCAACTGTTCGGTGTTCGTGGTCTCTGACTGACTAAGACGTCAGCATTGTCCCAGAGGTTCCTTAAATGTTACAAGAGGAGCTGTGGCTGATATTTCAAGTCACGACACTACGGACGGCGATTCTGAAGGTGACCTTCAGCCAGTCCTTTGGGCCCTGATACCCTCCAGCCGGGCTTTTGATAGTCGGTTCCATTGGCCAGCCCGGGCCCCTCTTCGGGCCTTATCGAACACTGTCTTTGGTCAGCTCGGGGCCCCTTGCGAGCACAGAACCCTCTGTTGGGCGCTGCGGGCCCCTGACAGAAACAGGGGCCCTGACCAGAGCTGATAAGTGACCCCGGCATTATACCTCATTAGCAGGTGTGTCCTCAGGCCCATGCCGACACGGAGCCGACTGTGCAGTACTGGTCGCGCTTCACCGACATTTAGGGCAATATCGACTCAGGGGGTCCTCGATCGGCGTAGAAGACCCTCTGACCGTTATTTGAGGGCCCGTCTTCGTAAGCTGGGGACACTGAAATAGGCTTCGATCAACTCTTTGCGCCTTTAGACCCTCCAATCGGACCCTTGATCTTCGGACCCGGTGGGCCCTCTAGGCTCTTCGATACCTTCTCAATCCACCTTCTCGATCACTGCCTCTGACTGGCTTGGGACCCGTTTCCAACACGGGACCCTTGTAAGGCGCTGTGGGGCCCGAGCAAAATAAATCGTTTGCTGCGGCTTTGCCCCTGCTTGGGAAATGGGCCCTTTGGCCGATGCCGCCACGAAGCCGACTAAGCATTGCTGGTGGTGTCTGACCGAAATATATGTCCGTATCGACTCAGTGGGCCCCTGATCAGCGCGCAGGGCCCCCTGGCTGGCATTGGAGTGCCCGGGCCCGGGGGCCGGGGCCCCCGAATGCGAACTCCGGCCGGTCTTTCGAGCCCTTCGGGCCCTAAAATCAGGCCCTTAATCCTATGTTCCGGAGGCCCTTCAGGCCGCTCGGAACCTAAAAGGAGGGGGACACGTTCCCCCTATGCCCCCCCCCCCCCTCTTGCCTGCGCACTGCTCGCTGAAATTTGGCGAACTTAAGTTCAGGGTCAACAGCATTGTGCTTTTTGCTCAGAATTGGCGATAACAAACTTTGCGCTGGCTTGGAAAAAATACTTTGTAATTTATGTCTCATGCTGCTCTTTTTAGCATTCTCAAATGGTCTGTTAGTTTGTCTAGGGTATACTGTGTTTCCTGATGTTACCATATTCATTTGAGACATATGACTCATCGACAACATTGTTTGAAGTCATAAATCAGCTCATATGATTCACGAACAACGTGATTCATCTCATGACTCCCCTACGCATTTTCCTAGTGAGTCGACTCAGCTCACTAGTCATCCCAAAATGATTGACTCATAAGTTGATTCATGACCCAGCTCGAATCGATCACAAGTCTGGTAACGCCCTGATCAGGCGAGACCCGCATTGTCAAAGGGGTCTCAATCAGCGCAAGATGCCATCTGACTGAAAGTTGAGGTCACGGACCTGCAGGCCAGGATCCTTAATGTGACCTCCAGCCAGCCCATCGGTCCGTTGGTCATTGGTCCTGATGGGTCCTCCGGAGTCCAAAAGGGCTTCGTGGTACGAAACCCTCTTCTGGCCCCCTGAAACACTGCTCTGACCATCTCGGAGCCACTTGCCACCACAGACCCGCTTTAAGGTACTGTGGGCCCTGGTTGGGGCAGGGGTCCCTCATTATCTTAGGGGCCCGAGCAGTGCAAATCAGGGGCCCCGGCCTTGTCTTTGCTTGGAAAGTGGGCTCCTGGTCCAGACTGACAATGAGCCGACTTTTCAGTACTAGTGGTGCCTGACCGACATATAGGCACTGGTCTACTCAGGGGCCTACAACCGGCATAAAAGGCCCTGACTGGCATTTGAGGGCCCTGCCCTTAAGTCGAAACATTTATGTCATGGTGCTACGCATTGCCATTGCCATGTAAAAACCTGCAGTGCAATTTGAGATTGGGGATTTCGCCCCACAAGCGTTCGATTTTCCCACACCGCTCAGTCCCCGCCTAGACGCACAGGAGGCGAGTCTGACCGTAGGGCAAATTATGCACGTTAATCGTTTCTTAGAGTTCTCTGAGGACCGCTAGGAAGTAATAGCATTTCGGGAACCCGGTAGCAAGAGAATCACAACCCTGGTCCGTGCCCGCGCGGAGCCGAAGAGATGGCGATGGCCGCCGGGACCGGAAATGTCTGGTTTCACACAGAGCCTTCTCCCAGCCCATCGACGCCCCCAGGCCACGATTCACGGCGACACGCGCCAGCTCGCCCGCAGACGTGCCGAACACTCACCTCCCAACCAGAAAGTTCCTTCAGCTAGCCGTCGGCATTCGTTGCGATTGGTGACCCGGTGCCGGCGGGACATCCACGGCAAACACGATGACGTGCTTCGATTTGAATGTCGCCCGCGCAGTCCCAGCGACAGATCCTTTCCCCGCAATGTTCATGGGTACGCCCTTACAGTTCGGTTGGTCAAATCGCGTCTTCCAGTTCACCTCCTGACGGCGCAGTTCACCCTCTGAATGTTTTTCACTGCAATCGCGCCATCGCACGCACTGAAATGATATACGTCCCGTGGCGGATTGAAGGCCTGGTAGCGTCAAAGCACGGGACCAACCACGCACGGCACCGTAGCGCGTCATGCTTCGCCGCAACATACAAATTACCCGGACATTGCGCCGCGTCATGGCAAGATACTGCTGAAGCACAGCGTTCCGGCGCGTAGGCTACCTGTTGTGTGAGCCCCGGTTGGTGGAATCAGGACTAACGCCAAAGTTATGTCCCGGGTGGACAAAGATGCAATGGTGCGGAAAGTGTCAGAACAGATCAAAGACACCTTTCAAGAGTTGAGCTACATTGGCGATCCGCCTCGACCGCTCAATTATCGCATCCTCTCGTTCCTCAATCCCAGACGTTCCTCGTGGCCGGCCTCATAGCCACCAATCTCTCTCTGCAGATATCACCGCACCCAACTATCTCCATAAACGAAGCATTACATGTCATCTGTATTTCGCTCATCAGGATCACATATACACGTCTTGGCAAACAGCAGCAAACAAACAAAAATGATAATGGTATGAAAGAAATGCAAGTGAAAGCTAGATAACTTCTTAGTCGACCTCCTCCATGCGCGAGGCGTCTTCGTCCTCCCCCTCCAGGGGCGGCATCTCCTCGGTCACAGCCTCCGCCACCTCCGGCTCACCGTCGTCATCGATGCCCAGACCGAGCTTGATCATCCTGTGGAAAAGACACAAAACGTCGGACACGGAACACCACGTACGCGAGGGAGCCTCTAACGACCGCATCAGGGAGAGAGTCATTCGTCACGAGTTCGGACATTAAGTGCAATTACATCATACTAAAAACACCATATTCTAAAAAGCATTTCTGAAAAAAACTATCGCGATAAATGCTGCTCCAACGAACGGCACACGTACCTGTGGATGCGAGAGCCGTGCACAGCGGGATCTTCCAGGCTGAAGCCAGAGCTGAGGAGCGCAGTTTCGAACAGCAGCATCACCAAGTCCTTGACGCTCTTGTCGTTTTTGTCCGCATCCGCCTTCAGCTTCAGCGCCTCGATGATCTTGTGGTCAGGATTAACCTCTAGGTGCTTCTTGGCCGCCATGTACCCCATGGTAGAGTTGTCGCGAAGCGCCTGGGCCTTCATGATGCGCTCCATGTTGGCCGACCAGCCGTACTGCGACGTGACGATGCAGCAAGGTGAAGACACCAGCCTGTTGGACACCACAACCTTCTCTACCTTCTTGTCTAGGATGTCCTTCATGACCTTGCAAAGATTCTCATACTTCGCCTTGTCCTCCTCCAGCTTCTTCTTCTCCTCTTCATCTTCTGGCAGCTCAAGTCCCTCCTTCGTCACACATACGAGCTGCTTTCCATCATACTCCTTCAGCTGCTGCACGCAGTACTCGTCAATCGGCTCTACCATGTAGACCACCTCAAAGCCGCGCTTCCTGACGCGCTCAACGAAAGCAGAGTTGGCCACCTGGTCACGCGACTCGCCCGTGATGTAGTAGATCTGCGTCTGGTTCTCCTTCATGCGAGACACGTAGTCCTTGAGAGAGCAGGGCTCATCGCCCGAAGCCGACGTGTAATAACGCAGGAGATCCGCCAACTTCTTGCGGTTGGTGCTGTCCTCGTGAATGCCGAGCTGGAACCCACAAGGAAATGGTGAGGACGATATGACAGAAACATTTCGCCACACAACAGGAGCGACCTGCACTGTGGAACACAACCACCAACCACGCCATCGGACATTAAGAAAGAGGTCCCGCATGGTGTGTTGGAGGTGTTAACATTTATCTACTTCCCTCGCACAGCCCAGCTGGCATGGCACAGATTCCAACCGAAGTCGATACTCTGTGCTACAGCTGAACACAGTTTGTGCAGGAAGACATTTTATCCAAAATCCAACCAAGGCAAATTGCAATCGAACTACCACGTGGAAACAACTGGTCCGTAATAACACGAAAATGCGAATTACCTTGAGGTTCTTCCCGAACTGCTCGTAGAACTTCTTGTAGTTTTCCTTGTCCTCTGCGATTTCTTCGAACAGCTCTACGCACTTCTTGACCAGGTTCTTCCTGATGACCTTCAGAATCTTGCTCTGCTGCAGCATCTCGCGCGAAATGTTCAGCGGCAGATCCTCAGAGTCCACGATGCCGCGCATGAAGTTGAGGTATTCTGGGATGATCTCCTCGCAGTTCTCCATGATGAATACGCGACGGACGTAGAGCTTGATTGAGTTCTTCTTCTTACGGTTCTCGAACAGGTCGAACGGAGCACGTCGCGGAGCGAACAGCAGCGCCCGGAACTCCAGCTGGCCTTCGATGGAGAAGTGCTTCACAGCCAGGTGATCCTCCCAATCATTGGTCAAGGACTTGTAGAACTCTCCATACTCCTCCTGGCTAATGTCGTCCGGGTTCCTAGTCCAGATGGGCTTGGTTTTGTTGAGCTCTTCTTCATCGGTGTACTTCTCCTTAATGGATTTCTTCTTTTTCTTGTCTGGTTTGTCACCCTCCTCATCTTCACCAACATCCTCAACTTCGGGCTTGTCCTTGTCCTCTTCCTTCTTCTCCTTGTCCTCTTCCTCCTCTTCATCATCCGAAACCTCCTTTGTCCTCTCCTTCTCCACAAAGAGCTTGATGGGATAACCAATGAACTGAGAGTGCTTCTTCACCACCTCCTTGATCCGCTTCTCATCTGTGTAGTCCGTCTGATCCTCCTTGAGGTGCAGGACAATCTTCGTGCCACGGCCGAGAGGCTCCTCGGTATCGACACGGACAGTGAATGAGCCACCAGCCGACGACTCCCACACATACTGCTCGTCGTCGTTGTGCTTGCTGTGCACAGTGACCTTATCAGCGACGAGGTAAGCCGAGTAGAAACCCACGCCGAACTGACCAATCATGGAAATGTCAGCTCCCGCCTGCAGAGCTTCCATGAAAGCCTTGGTGCCGGACTTGGCAATGGTACCCAAGTTGTTGATCATGTCAGCCTTTGTCATGCCGATACCGCTGCAAAGGAGAAAACGTGTCTAACAAAGTTCTTTAAAAACTCCTTGCAACTAGGTGCTGGTCTTCAGATTTTCTTTTACACCACCACATGAAACAGAACATTTGTGATAGGCGTTATCACATTCTGAATCATGTCAGACGTAACTTACAGCATCACTGTAACAGGCCAGCAAATGTTCGAGTCTGGTACATGTGATAAGGAGTAATAAATTCGATTTAAGAACACACCATGTCATCTCTTAAAATTGCCTTAATCCTTCCATGCCCTGTAGCATTTAACACAGCACCTACATCACATGCCATTGCACTTACGTGTCAATGATGGTCAATGAGCGGTCATTCTTGTTTGGGATGATCTTGATGTGCAGATCCTTGCCACCATCCAGCTTGGACGGATCTGTCAGAGACTCATACCGGATCTTGTCCAAGGCATCAGAGGCATTGGAAATCAACTCACGGAGGAAAATCTCTTTATTTGAGTAGAAGGTGTTGATGATAAGGGACATCAGCTGAGCAATCTCAGCCTGGAAAGCAAATACTTCTGCATCTCCTTCGGTGGTAGTCATCTGAAACAAAGCACTAGATCAGCAGCTGCCCAGAATGGTCCAATGCAAATTAATGAGGTTCCAGATGGAAATGTAAAAAATGTCCAAAGTTCCACCCAAACCTGTACAAACATCTAGAACTAAGATGAAACTAACCAGACAGGAACCATTTCCTGAATGACAGGAATTTGAGGCAAAACATGGACAACCACATGACAAGCATCCATGTCAGATGAAGCACAAAGAAAGCTGCACTTAAAAACATGTGGCAGAAGGCATCCCAAAACAACCAATCAACAATGGTACAACAGGTAATGACCGGAGTGTCCCAACAAATGCAGAGCGGCACCAATTTTACAAGTTGCCATAAAGTTCACTGACTCCACAAACAGCAGGGATGCCGCAATTTCCAGATAGAACTAGCTCCACGTGTTATAGCACCCTTAGGGCCAACAATGCGTGCACAGATAGCTGAAGCTGACTCCCTCTGAGCCCATAATGGCACGCAGCACGTATTGGGTAGGTGCCTCCCCTCAGCCACCGGTAAATACAACGCCAAGCAAGGCTCGAAAACATGCCCGAAATGTACCGTTGTTTCAGAACCAGATACCTCAATATCTGGCGCCGGCTGGAACGGGTGCTAGCAGACCCCAGGAACACAGCAGAGCGCCGGAAACAGCCCCACAGAATATCGCTTATGCAAGAAGACAAATTTCGAGACTCCCATTCGTATTTAGCACCGAGCACCCGAGAAATACAAACCGGGACGAAGAGTTGTGAATTCGCAACACTCTCACCCCCACGCAAAAAGGCAACGCCGTTACTAGGCTTCAATGCCCCTCCATACCTTGTCTAGCTTCGAGTCACAATCCGGGCGGACAGCAATGAAACCACGCACACCACCCCCTCGCCTTTCCGCAGACTGACTCCCATGTTCAGAATTGTCCACTATATATAGGCAGTCTGGGGCGGATGAACACTATATTCCAGCAAGTTCGTTAAGATATTGATCAAATGTTTTTTTGGCAAATAATTTGAATCAGACCAGAAAATAAACATAATTTAACCCGTAAGTGATAACATTACGGCTAATAAAATAGGTATTTCTAACAGAAAGCGCATTTATTATTGTACTATTTGGGATATCCGTGAATATACTGTTCATTCCTGCGAGTGTATGCTCGATTGTTCTAGACCCTGGTAGAAGCTCCTGGAGTTCGACTGCTCTTGGCTGCATCTCCACCACTGTCATTCAGGAGCGATGACAAAGCGTGAGTTGACTGCCTTGAGCAGTTTGACTAAGGTATGCAGCCATTTTGCGCATGGAGGAAATGCACTGTCATGAAGTAAACAAACTGGTTAAGACATTGCCCAAATTGACAGATTGCACGAAAGTGCGGGCCGTCTCTGCCGGGAGGTTCTTCCGTCGGACGAATAGAACCCGCAAATGGAAAATGCTGAGATACATTCGTGTCTGAGAGCTGTCGAAATGGTAGCTTTACCGACGAATTGTGGAAACAGTGAAAGAGCCACTGAACGTTAGCAGGATTCCGGCGACTCGTCCCAGTACGCCTGTACCCCGCAGAAATGCCGCATTGGACGACGTTTTCGGGACGGGGTAAGGGGGAAGGGGGGGGGGGGGGGCACCGAGCATCAATTCACGTTACGTCGGCATATTTTCTAGCATTTTGAGTACGCAGCTTGCAATATGTGGACGATCAGCGCGCAAATACTGAGCGTTTGAGCTGCAGCGGGGTTCTTATACCCAGTACTCACAAAGACGAAATCGTTTTACGAATTCCACAGGTCAGCTGCGGACGTGAATCAAAGGCATTGTATGGAACTAACTTAATTCGCTATGTTTGAGCCCAAGGCCTAAAAATCAAAGGGTGAAGGGTTCAGGAGGAAGGTGAGTAGGGAGGGGGCTGAAAGGAAGGTCCGCATATTGCACTTAAAGCCAGATATCAGAACGTCATCCCCTGGAAGCCATGTCATTGGAAGAATCCAGTTTTGCAGTCTGAGGGGACACTGACATTGTTCGCTAGCGAGCTGATACGGACTAACATCCCTGGCAAAAGTTGTCAATGCAAGCAATTGGCCGATAAACCTGATGCCTTCTAGGGTGACCTCCTTTGCTGATTTTACCAACTTAGGAAAATTCTGGCTACGCCAAGGGCGTGGATACTCCCCCGCCATGGCTGAGAAAGCCAGTGAGAAGACGGTCGAAATATTTAGGCCCCTAGCAGGATATAATTTTGAGCAATCTTTTGATATCGCACGTTCCCAAGACAAGTTCTCAACCACATCAACACAGGATCGGATTCACGGCCGGAGCGTGGGAAAGAGCAGGACTGTCGAACGGGGCTCAAGCTCGAAATTTGGCGACAGTTGTACTGACATACACATGCCGACAGTCACGAGTGGGATTAGAGAAACTCAAGTTGTTTTCATCAGTCTAAGGAACACCTCGTGCCGTTTGAGATCCTTGCGTTGACCTCGCAATGCACGTTCTGCTGAAATACTCGGATGCGCCTTTAGTATTTTGCACCTGGAAGGCGTGGCAAACATCAACGTAGACTTTGATCCGAGTGTAACTTGGACATACCAAGTTCTAGTACCACATCAATTATAATTTCCTTCGGTTTTCAGGATTCACGAAAATGCTCAAGACTGCGAAATCACAGGCTCTGGGGACACGGTCACAGGTTCTGGTCCTGGGGACACAGGTTCATGGACACGGATTGAAGGACAACAAATATGACAGAGAAACAGTTTATGGACTTCATCCATTTCCCTTGGCACTACTCCATTTCGTTTCGAAGCTCAGTTGCTACGTATCATATGCGCATCACGCCCACGCCAGCATGACCATCGCGGGCGCGGTCCCGGACACTGGGAGCACCGCCCGATTTCGTCACAAAGCAGTGGGTTCGCGACCGTTCCCGCCACATTTTCCAAGTGGCGACGGCACCCCCCGCACGACGCGACCCGCTCGCGAACGTTCCCGCCGCGCGGTCGATTCATGCCGGCCGGCGGGGGAGCCGCGGCCCTCCCCTCCCCCTTGCTCCGCCGGCGCCGGCTATCCACGTGGTACCGGCGTCCCTGCGCGCGCGCGCTACTCCGGTCGCTTTGCGCGCTCAGCTGGCAGGGAGCGCTGATTGGCTGCCGTCAGCTTCGAACTTCCTGACCTGTGCTGCTGGAATAAGGCTATCAATTGCAGAACCTTCAAGTGCGAGTGGCTTCATCCACCAGCTTACCATGAATTACTGACTGGTGGAAAGCATCAAGGGCGGCGACAGTGGCGTCACGACAGAGGCTGGGGATGGGGGGGGGGGGGGGGTTGACAGAGGGGCAAGAGTGCGCTCTTGCCCACTCAAACTCACGTTTTGGGGACAGCCATTTTCCTGAACACGAACCTTGTAAATTACCTGTATCGGCAAATTTCCACAGATCAATAAGGCCCTCACAGCCGAGCTATGGCAATATGCAATTTCATGCATTTGTTGTGTTCAAGGCCCTATAACAACGTTGTGTTTACCCCGGGCGTCCGCTCCGGACATGCACACAGGGCGTATTTTAAGAGGGAATTACTGCGGGGGCTGAAATATGACAGACTTGTGATAAATTTTGCCGTCTTAATTTGCTGAAGATTGTTTAGAGCAGTCTTCCACCTCAAGGACTACCGAAAGTCATAAGTAAGCATGATTCATCATCCCTGACGATTATTCTCTTATCTTCAAATGTGGAACATTTTCTTTGGATGGTATATTTGCATTTCCTTTCCTATGCTGTTCCTTCCTATCTGCGTTATCCGCCCTCTGCATTTGAAGGCGATATTCCGCATTTGACGATTTGAAGCAAGAATGACGCATACTAAAAACGTTCACTTATTACCATTGGCGTACATTTGGCTCCTGCTTGGATCAACCAGAACCCGGTAGAAACACATAATCCTGCAGCCTGGACTGGAGAGGGGGCATCTCACACGGTGCGTCCTAGTGGCGCCAAAAGGCACCCATACCGTCTTCGGCTCCGACAACTCGCCAGAACCATCCCGTAACTAAACCCAACATTTACCCTAACAGTGCGTGTACGCCATCTAGTGAACAAGTTAGAATCAGAAGTGAGCGACCCGGCCACACTTGGCACAGTTGTATGCCTCAACGGACACAAAGTAGTGTCACCTAGCGGGTGAACAGAAAGCGACAGTTCAGGCGAGAACCGTCCGATATGAGCGATCACCTCCAAAGATTCTTGGTGATGCACCATCAATGCAGGCTATCGTAGAAGGGCACACATGCCTTTAGATAATGGGCACCACTCCTAGCAAACTCATGGACACCTGGCAACTCTCCTGTCAAAATTAAAAGGAATGCTCTACATTTGAAAGTATAAAAGCATGCATCAGATGTGATGAAATAACCTCACTAATAACTTTTGTATTGTATGCAGAGTTTTCAGTAAAAGAGACAGTTCTAGAGGACAAATTTCTCTCTTTTAGTACACATATCCCCCAATACACCATTGCTTGATGGTGTCACGGAGCTTTTGTACGGCGAACTGGCCGTGCGACATGCCACCTTAGCACTCACGTGTAAAACTTCAATCCCCGGAGAGGTGACCGTGCCGGTGCCGGTGTTTTCTGAACCATGATTATGTGCTCGTATGTTGGCCCCTCGTAGTGGTGTTCTTGCCTATTTTTCATTTTTTCAAGGCGTTTCTCTTTAATTTTATGATCAGTCATGGCGATGTTATCAAGTTATTCGAATGCAAACTTACTTCCGAAAAGTTCACTACTAAGTCCAAAAAAGATCACTTCTGTAAAAGCCACTTACGTCCAAATTCTGACAATATCTGGGAAAAAACGTGATTCGTGACTGAAGCTTGCACAGCCTGTTCATCATCGACGATTAAGCACCAATGTCTCAGAAAGTAACGGACTCGTGTTCGACTCGAGCTGAATCAGGACTCGGCTTAAGAGCCAATCGGTTTGAGGTGAGTCGTGAACTGAGTCGGCTCGCTTTGAAAAATACCGCTCTGAATCATAAGCTGAACCAAATTGTTCATAAAGTTCATGAGCTGAATCATGAGCCGATCATTTGTAACAATGCTGGGTCTCTGAATCATATGGGTCTAATGTTAATGACAACATGAGGAAGCACAGCACGCGCCAGACAGATTATCAGACCATTTGCAGGGTGGTTATGTGAACAGCATGAAACATAAGTTATTAACTTTTTTCTTGCAAAATCAGCGCATAGTTTGTTTTTGTAACTCCCATGTAGTAAACACAATATGTTGTTGATCCTGAACTAACGTTTGCCAAATCTCAGCCAGGAACCAGGGGACATGGTACAGGCATCCTACATTCTCAAATCCTTTGCCTAAATCAGTGAAAGATTTCCTGCTTCCTACGACGGCTGGCTATATTTTTCATGACCAACTGTCACGACGATGAACTAATCAATGCCTGACCCTTGATTCACTACGGCTTGATCTGCTGTTGCTGTAAGTATGCTATTATTTAGACCATAAAAACAAACAGCAATAGTGGCAAGACCGACTCGTCTCATGTGCGGACTGTATGTCACGGAATGTGACCTCCCAGGCATTGCATCAATAAATACATTCACGCAACACGCAACTTGCAAGTAAGAGTTTGGCCCCCAAATTTAGTAGTCTTGGAATGTAGTTAAAGTGGCGCAGAGCACTCTAAGCTCTACGCAGTGCCGAAACCTGTTTTGGTTCCTAACTCATCATAGAGCAACCTGACGGGATAAGCTTAAGGCATCCCGGCGGAAAAGGAAGTCGGCACGCACGTTGGCATATGTCTAGCTCAGTCGTTCAGTTCAGTTCAGTTTAGTTCATTTCAGTTCAGTTCACTCCCGTTCAGCTCAGTTCCTTGCAAACCGGAAGACAGT